GAGCCACACAAGTACAATATATAACTAATATATATGTATATAATATATATATATATATATTTATATGTACATATGTACATATGTAAGTACATGTGTTTTCTGGGAGAAGTATATTTTTGCGAATACACACATGTATATAGTACACGTATATAGTATATGTATGTATGGACATATGTAGGCCATTTTAAATTTATTTTTCATGCGAATGTGCATTATTTTTCGCTCGAATCACTGGAATACGAACAGTTGCGAAAATTACTTACACACGCGCTTAATATTTAAACGCAATTTCACTCAAGTGTTTTTTAAGTGGATATTGAGGTGATAAATTACATACATATAAAATCAAAAAAAAAATACACATGTAAACACCTTCAGGGCAGCCATACATACATACACACGTACTATACACCTTTGCCATTTCAAGCTTTAAATCTCGAATTAAGTTAAGATTTTCGTGTGGTTTAAAAGTAATTGCTTTTAATTTGCGCTCAAAAACTGTGTGTCAACTTGCTGCTTGATATTGGAAAATGCATGGTATAGATACTCAAACAAGTGACCTCGTTCTGATTTTTTTTTTTTTAATATTTACAATGTTTGGCAAATTAAATTTTTTGTTGTTATTTCTCTATAAGCCAAGTTTTAACCAACATTTATAGAAAACTTTGGATAATTCAAAAATTTTCATTAAAATTTTCACTTTTTTTACTTCAATCTTTAGAACATTTTTCGATATGTATTTTTACAGCCCACACAATTTTAGTTCATTCAAGTGCAAGTTTCAAGAAAGCGCACTGATTTTTGATATTTTTTTTTGCTGATGAATTTTTGCACTTCGTTCCATATAAGGCACGTTCCATACCAAAATACACACTTCATGGTTTTGATTTGTTTAAAATTTTTAGGGTTGATTAATAAAAATAAATAATAATTAAATTTGAAATTTGAGCTTGATTAATACATTTTGAAGAACTCTACAGCACAAAAACAAAAATAAATCGATTTAATAGTTTTTCGAATGGCAACTGGCAGTAGTCTAAATAAAAGCAACTTTAAGGATGTTCTATATGCGTACTTTCGTTAAAATAATTTATGTTGTATAATTATGAGTTTCGCTATCTGAGTATAAAATTTCATGTTAATATGTATAACCACTGTATTGTTTAATTATCTGTACTTTTTATTATGAGTTTTAGTCTTACTTTTTTATAAGTTTTAGTTTAAGTAACCATTATTACCTTGTTATATCTTTCTGGTTGTACTATAAAAGATCTCAGATCTTATTGTACTAATGTTTTAGCAAATAAAGGAAAAGATATGAAATGAAATGAATATCTCGAGAACGGGGCATGGAAAAAATTTGAAAAAAAAATCACACATACACACATCAAAATTCTCTATGGAAACGATATTTTTTTCTTGAAAAATTGTTCACATAAAAACTTTTGTATAAAAAAAATAGTTTCTGAAAATATGCCATCTCAATGAAAAATTAAAAAAAAATCAATGAGTATTACGCAATATTTAAGTGCACTTACCATAAGTTTAGTTGTGATTTTTTTTTACATCGAAGTTGAGTAAAATTCGTACATTAGATTAGATTAGATTTTTTTTAATGTACAGTTTTGTAGCCTATTAAGTTTTATTTTAATGAAATAATTTTAAAAATTTTGTAAATATGTAATGTAATTTTACTTAACTTCGGTATAAAAAAAAAATCATAACCCAAATTATTGTCTGCACTCTACGATACTATACCCGTAATACTATACTTAAATATTGCGCTACTCAGCGCTACCATTGTAATTTTTTTTATTTATTTTTTGAGATGGCATAATTTCAAAAACTTTTTTTATCAAAAAATTTTTATGTGAAAAATTTTTCAGTGCAGTGTGCAGTGCACAGTGAGAGTTTTGAGGTCCTCCCTGCCTAAATTAAGCAGCTGCTGTGAAGCTTCATTTAAAGGGCAGATAAATCGGTTGTCTTGCTTCTGCAATGGATATTCCATCCAATGCCTATTAAGCAATTTATTTGCCCAACTATTTATGCTCCCCTTCATGTGTGGTGTGGTCAGCCCACATAAGGGTTCCCGTCCGTGATATACTGCGGTAGCTCACTGTTTCGCTAGATAGTCCGCCTGCCCAATGCAATTAGTTCCCATAATTTACACATCTTAGAAAAACTGTGTATTTTGGCCCGCAGAGCATTTAGGACACTAAAGCAATCATGTACTAGATTAGCGGTTATTATGTGGCTCCCCAGTGCTAATAGGGCTGCCAGGTTGTTCGACATAATGCAGATATACATATATATTTCGAGGATGTGCCTCTTCTAAGGCATTGTCTGCCATAGATCTGTGCAGCTAGCCCTTGGTATCAAATTTTGAAATTCGAAAGAAATTTTCCAACCCCAGCTTTTCCACTTTCCACCTAGGATTCATCTGTGTACAAAACCGCTCCATTAGGTTTTGTGTATTTGTGGCCTGCTTTCCAGAGAGCTCGAACTGCAATAAGTACCTCAAATTTCCTAGAGTTTTGACACTATTGCACCCCGCTTTTGCAATATGGACGAATCACATTAGGAGCTTCATGCGACCCGTCGTTTTTCCGATTTTGAAGTCGAAAGTGTTTGGAATTCTCAGTGTCGCAATGGTTGCCTGCTTTTCTATTAAAAGAGAAAAGGGAGTTAATCCAACCAAGCTGCTGGGTGCATCAGCCGGGATAATCTCCATTGCTCCTGACAAAAGTTGTCCTATGGTGTACATGGTAGAGAAATCTCGCTAGAGTTTTACTGAAATAAAAATTTCCTCTCCCAATTAAGTGTAAATGTAGACAATTGTTACCTCTCGCTCGATGTTGAAAATATCTTCTCAGATTGGCTTGACACATGTCGCTCGGAGGTTTTTTGGGTCGCTGATTACGAATGGGGAAATAAATAAATAAATTAAAAATGGCGAATCCAATATGGCTGACGATATTTTGAAAACCGGTCGGATCGAATGCGGTCGCTGATTGCGAAGACAAACTCATTTGGCTATCAATTTTGGTTTTTAGACTTAAGGATTAACGGGAAAAGGTTCAGTCAAAATATGTCGATAAATTTTGTCGTCACAATAACTATGAATGAAAACTAACCTAAATGCCCAGTACTATCGACTAGAATTAGCAACTCATGACTTTTTTAGCAGGCGAAAAAGGGGATTAAACCACTTTACATTTTTATAAGTTTTTTCCACAAGATAAATCACATTTGTTCATTACATAAATATTTTTAGGCGTGTTAGACATAGAAAAATTTGTGAGTTTTATAAAGTACATTTATATATGTATGTGCATTCTTGATGCTTGCAACTCTCCATAGGCGGCCATATACATTTTTAAATATTCAATATAAATACTAAACTATCTTGACACATTATATTTCAACTTTGGAGTACCTTCTCAATGGGACGACACTACAGGCGATGGGGTTCTGCAAGCCTTTGATTCAAGTGGAGGTGGTAGGAACGATTTTGAAATAAATTAATCGTAGTTGGGTTTAAAATAAATGAATAAGCAACAAAATCTGGCCGGGTGTGCTTATGTAGCACAACGGTAGCAAGCTGGATTGGTAGATTAGTAACACGCTCCCAACTGCCGGTTAGGTCCAGAAAGAAGCCTTATAAGAAGATTTGACAATGTTCGAGGTAGCAGCCACTTCTGCTGCACTGAGAAGAGTTTAAATATATCTTTCTCAATGCATGATTTGATTATATGAGCAAATCTCAAGAGTTGTTACATTTTTTGACAACAACATGTTTTTGTTGAAAATGATGGTACATCTATCCTAGAAAATGCGTTATCTTCAGTTTTGTGTAAAGAACAAGATTCCATCTCGAAATTGTATTTAAATGAAAACTTAAAAAATATATACTAAAACGGTTAAACTAACCACTCATGCTCATATACCCGTAGGTTGCGTATGTAACACCATACACAGTCGTCTATCACGTTTGCTCGCACGCTTTAACTTAAAAGGTCATATTATTTAAAAGTAATTAAATATTGGCGTGGAAGAATTTTACGCAGTATTCCTTATGCACATACTTATTTACTACTTTGTTCATGTATATAAAAAGTTTAGAATAAATTTCGAGTGTGCCAATTAAAAATTGTAAAAATGGAATTTTAGTTTCTCAAATCATAGTCTTCTTTTACTCAATGTAATTTTTTTCATTTAGTGGCACACTAGTTTTATCAGACTAGACTTGTTCGTTTTGGCAAGAAGAACATTTTCAACGGGTAATATTGACCTTTTGAAGTATCCTGAAACTTTTGTAATGAAAAAATCCTTGCATTTCAAAAATTACATAATAGTTGCATGCTGCCATTATTTCAAATTTGGTGGCACAGTCTTGAAATGTCACAGATATGTTGTATTTGATGCCAACGTTCATTGCCTCTAATATGAACATTCTATTTGAAAACTTCCCAAAGTTATTTAAAAAAAAATATGATTTTTTCGAGTGAAACAATTTGTAATTTCGGTACTTTTTCGTCTAAATATACGTTTTAAGGCTAAAATTGCTCAAGTGTTTTATTTTTTATTGTGCTTGTTTCTGGAACTCCCCTGATTAAAACAAATGCAAGAAGAATACTTTAGCGTTTTTTTCCGAAATAAGGGAGTGACACTAAAAAAACGACTTGTGAGGTTTGCTCATATGTAATTATCAAATCGTGTGTTGAGGGAAATACATATGCTTAGTTTACCTAACTAAACTCTTTTTTCGGTTTGTTTAGACTTCTTAAAACAGTTTAATGAAGTCTAAATAATATCGACTTTAATTTTTCGTATAATTTTCGTACGCCTTCGTATTATTATTTTCTCAGTGTATTTGGCTACTGATATTGCTTACAAATGGCTGTCTTCTTCAAACACACATACACACTCGCGCACATACTAATTTACGTATTATACCACACAGATACCGGCAGTGTTTTCCAATGGATACAAAAAAAAAATAAACATAAAAATTGCTTTACTTTGGAGAGCAATTAAAATTTAAAATAAAACCCATGATATGGAAAATGCTATGGAAAAGTGAATCAAAAATTAAGTAAATAGTAAGTGCAAAGAAAATATAAATTCTACAACTGTAAAAAATACAAATTAAGCTAATCTAGTGAAATAAAAAAATCTTAACCAAATATCGGAATATTTATGCGAAGAGTGCACTTCGTCAACGTTGTTTTTTGTTTTACATACATAAATAGTGATTTAGATATATGCAAGTCTATTCAAACAGATAAAGTTGCGTTATTATTGGTGTCTATTACGTGTTAAATGTTGTAGTTAACTAATTATTAAATACATATGCCGAAATATTAAACTACCAATAACATAAATATATTTACAAATAATTATGTATGTACATTACGAATAAGATAAACTGCCGATGTCGATCACCACAAAATAATAAAATTCTTCAAAAAATTTGCAAGAAGTAAAAGAATAACCATTTACAAAAAAAATGTTGCTAAAACCTTATCATGTGCACAGTGGAAAAGTATCTAATATTGATAAGAAAATCCAATTTCACAGTTGTTAATAAAATTTACAAAAACAGTTACATTAAATTTTAAATTTGTGCGGTAAATCAAAATAGAGGACGGTGCGAGTCTAAATGCGCAAAAGCAAGTTTAGCTAAAATTTTAACAGATCTTCAAAAAAAAAAGTTAGTAAAATTGTGATTTAGTTTCGAGGAGTCTCATATTGTTTTTGAACGATTCTAATTTGCGCAATTTTTGAGCCAGCGAATTCACGAAGTCGAAATTCCGACGCCAATGGCTTACGACGCGCCTGCGCGCTCACCTAACCATATCACATAACAGCGGCGGGTATTGCCGAATGTCGGATAAATGTCGGCGACGTCGAACACCAGCTTGGCACGCACACAGTTTTAGGTTAACACTAGTGACATTAAGTAGTTAATGAGCATAAAATGGCTACAGTAATAATAAGCAAATAAAATACATACTTATGTACAGATAAGTTTAAACAAAAGTAAATAAAAACGAGAATCAACACAAAAAGCCTTGCATGGTGCTACCAGTAAAAGCGCTTTGATGAGCTTTTAGTCTAATTGATCAAAAAATTTTACGTGTTACTTATAGACTTCATATAAATGTAGTTAAGAAATAAATCAACAATTAAAAATCGATAAATAAAAAAATAAAAAATAAAAAAAATTCTTAAATTATGAGTAAAAAATCGCTTACTCACAAATTAGAGTAACGTATTTCTGAGAGCATTTATCTGTGAAACAAAAAGGCATATTGGAATGTGTTTTGTTGCTTTAATGCTCCTTGAGGTAACAGCAACAAAATCAACTGTTAACAAAATTAAGCAAAAAACTCTTCGAAAACTAGACATTCACCGAAAAACAAAACAAGCTCACCCGCCCTACCGGCAACGACGCAGCTTCGACGCACAGCATTCACTCCGAACCCAAATCCACATTGCCTACGTTTGCGCCACTGCGACAGCAAAAACAGCAACGCAAACTATTAAATTAACACTTAAATACTGCGCGTCATTGCCGTTATTCCACACCACTTCCCAATCGCTCTTGAACCCATCATTAGGTGCATCCACAGAGTGTGTGATTAACCCGCGAACATCTGTTGTACCCACCTCCGGTTTATTCAAAGCTAACTCATATACACGAAAATCCCTTCGGACGCGGTCTTTTTCGTCCAGCGCGTCCGTTTGTGCACATTCCACACAACTGTTGCCCATTACTTCGAAGCCAGTTACGAATAACACGAACGTTCATAGGTTTCTTCCTACTCGAACGTCTATACTCGCTTTTTATCGCCGCTGGACATCGCTCAATCGCTTAATTCGCTCTCGACTTCCCGCCGCCTGTGCGCCGCCTGTGCTTAGTAGCCACTCATTCTGGCCGCCTCACATAACAGCGAAAGCGATAACAACAACTCTGTTAGTGGCAGTGGCAGTGATAAGAAGTCCTTCTCGTTGCATTGCTGTTGCGTGATAGTCGACATAACGCCAGTTTCACAGGCCGGACGTTTGACATCGGCAACAACGGCCTCGGGAAGGGATGTAACCGCTGGCGGTGGGGGCAGCGGTGGCGGCGGCGGTGGAGTTCTCGGCGACGGTGTCTCGCAGTTAGCGAGCAGCCTATTTCGTTTCGGCAGCAGCAAGAAACGCGGCGTTTGCATTTGCAATGCCCAGTGCCCTCTGCAGTCCATGGAGCAGGCACAGCTGGGTCAACTTGACCCGTCATTGAAAACACAACACGGCTCCTTGGATCGACTGCTACAGCAGCAGCAGCAGCAGCAACAACAGTTGCAGCAAGCGCCCCAACGTCCCACTGCTTCAGCCGTGCATTCCATTGGGGGCGTAATCGACGGTGGCGGTTCAGGCGCCCTCCTCGGCTCAGCCGATTCTGATGGTGATGGAGATGATGAGAAGGAGCCCGAGCTACCACCACGTCCACCCTCCCGCGTAAAATCGAACGTGCGACAGATTAAAGAAGAATTTGATCGTGGCGTGGAGGTTGAGAAGTTCTATCATCAAATCAATGGCGATATATTTGAGATCACACGTAGAGTACGCGCCCGTGATGAAGATACCATCGAGCAGAAAGTAATCAAACGCAAAGGTTCTGTTCGTTTGCCGCCGGAGCCACCGCCACGACAATCGTCGGCAGTGCACTCGCATATTTACCACGGGCATGGCCATGGGCATGGACAAACGCATCATGGACATCGTCATACGATCGATACAAGCAAGCCCCAACTACCTCCACGTCGTCAGAAGAGTGCTGAAGAGGTGCCCGTCTCAAAGAGTGCTACGCGCGCACCGGAAGAGCTGGAATGGTTCGATCGCAAAGCTCAGCAAAGGCATTCTGCACGTTCAGCTGAAAGCGGGCCAGTTCGTGATGATACCATCGAGTGGCTGGAAAGACAAAGAGGCCCGGTGCGCACCTCCTCCGGTCCTAGTGAAATCACTGTGATGAAAGATGAGGTACCCGATTGGCTCCTAGAGCATCTGCCTCGCAAGCGTTCCATGGTTGAAAGACCACTGCCGCCAGAATCAAAGACGAGTACTGCTTCCTACGCAAAGGCACTTAAAGAGGAATTGGCGGAATTGTTGAAGAAACCTTTATCTAGGCAAAGTTCTGGTCCACCCGGCGAGTTCTCGATTCTCAAAACGGATATTGTCGATTGGCTGACAAAGTTGCAATCGTCATCGAGAGGCTCGGCCCGTGAGGAAGCGCCACCACCAAAAACACGTCGATCGCACCATCGGCGTAATGGAAGTGGCGACACGCAACGATCACATTCGCAAGAAGATGCCACTGTCGCACAGCAGGCGGCGCGCAAGCGGCACTCGCTGGGACATAGTGACCGTAGCGAAGAAGAGGTGATTGATTGGATAGCTTATCCGCTGAACCGGCTGCAATCACTAGGTAAGCCTCCGCAAGTGCAGCAGGTGCAAACGATAGACAGGCGTCAGCCATTCCTCGACTTACATCTCAAACCCGCACCACCGCCCCAATCACAGCTCCCGATAAGCACGGACCGCGAACGGAGATCCCACGAACGATCACGAGAACGCAAACTCCGGCACTCCGCTAGCGAAGTTGTCACTGCACCCACCACCTCCGCAGCAGCGCAAAGTCAGTTGGAGCGATTATACGCAAAACCGCACAAAGAGCGTTATCAGTATGTGCCTAAGGAAGCCAAAGATATGATGTTGCCTCCTAAGGAGACTGCTATGACCACTGCCACCACCGCCGCGATCAGCGCAACTGCACGCGAATCGAAGCGTGAACGCTCGCGCCGCCACCAGACACAACGTTCGGCTACAGTTTCGGACATGTCCGGCCATCATAACGGTGGCCTCAAGCGCAAATCGTCGTCGGCTGAACGTGCACCGCGTTCCCCATCGCCTTGCAACGATCCCGCCTGCCGCTTGCTCCCGATTTGCACTGACCCGCACTGCCGTTTCCTCGAATGCCAAACAACAGGACGCAGCGGCGGAACGGCAGTGACCACATCAGCTTCAACGATGAACCTCGCACGTCATCAGCAGGTGGCGAGGGCTCAAATGCACACAGTGCCTGCACACATAACTTCAGATGACACACCAACGCCACCACCACCGCCTCCAACATCACAACAACAGCAGCTGCAACAGTTCCAAGCACTACCGCAGCGGCGGCTGGTCATATGTCATGAGTGTCGCTCGTGCGCACCATTGCTTACCTGCCAGAATCGTAAATGCTTCAATGCCGCCAAGTGCAACTCACTGCCCCGCAGCGCAGCGGACTTCAATCGGCTGCGCACTACCCTAGCTCAGCCACCAACTACGCTCAACGACATAGAACCGGCGCCTGAGACCCCTTCACCGCAATTGCGGCATCCAGCTATGCAATATCGTAGTAACTCGCAACCGAATACGCTGCAACGTGGCGATTCGGCTGCAGCCATTTGGCAACAGGAAAGCAATGGCGCGGTGGGGAGCAGTACGATGATGGCAACAGGTATTACCCATGCCATCATCTCAAGTTCACAACCACCGCTGCCTCCCTCGTCCCTACACATCGGTTCCATGACAAACGGTCGACACTATTACAACGGTCGTAACGGTACTAGTATGCCTCATCTCAACGGCACCAATGGCAAATTGATGAAGTCCGCATCGGCGGCATCGCTCAATTCGCGAAGACGTCGTCATAAAACGGTCCATTTCGGTGAGAATTTGCTACGCGAAGTTTGTCAAAATCGTAAACTAATCAAAACTGAACAAGTTCCGTCCGGGTCGGCACCAATGAAGGCCAACATACAAATGCTGTATAATTTTGTAGAAGGTGTGTTGAGCGCATGGGTGGACGACGACGAGGAGCAGGTGCGTTCCGGCGCCGAATCAGAGCCCGAGCAGGGCACCATGGCACTTAAACCCATTTACCGTTGCAATCGACTGCGTTATCAGTGCATAAAGCGTATCGTAGAGGAAGCGGCGGAACTGCACGGCACATTGAAGCTGGGAAATTCGCGTTATCGTCATCGACATTGGCGCAGCACAGCCAAGCAATGCAACGAAATGTTTTTGCGAAAGGTAAGTTCATCAAATGGGCGAACTAAATTTTTCTGTTTCGTAAATTCTATATATGTAAGTCAAGCGGATAATAACAGAGATGGACTTTTTGGAAAATAATATATTTAACTAAAAGGCGCTTCTAAAATGTGGGTTCATATAAATCTTAACTAGATAGATTATTCGTTTGTTTAACCGTTAATCAGAACAAAATCAGTACAAAGAACGTTTGCAATAAATTTAAATTTTAGTTTAAATTTATTTCAATTTTAATTTAAATTTTAGTTTAAATTTATTTCATCATTAAAATTGGTTACCCGTAATTCATCGCAGTTCCTATTCAGAAATAAATTAAAATAAAAGATTTTGCAAAGTCCCGACTGACGTATAGAGATATGAACTATTAAACAGTCAGGAAGTATTCAACTTAATTTATCAAAAAAGATGAAAAACATATCTATATTTATTTGAAACCACAAAAGTAATTCTTTATTTTAGCCCTTTAAAATGATTTTAGGAGTGCCGTATCTGTCGAAATTCGACCATATAATATTTCTTACCGGAAAATCTCCTATTTTGGAACTAAAGCCTGACTAGAATTTTTATATATGCATTTGAAGGTATTTGGAAGACTTTAGCAGGACGTGTTATTGACCCGATACATTCCAGTTTGTCGATAAATTTCGATAATTCGATACATATCGATAATTAAATTAATTTCAAGAACAATAAAATCCGATAACTCATCTCAATTCGATAACTCCACTAATTTTGATAACTGTGCGTTTCGATAGCTCGAAAATATATGTATATCGATATAAATAGATATCTTGGTAAACTTTGGATATATCTCTAAATTTCGATAAGCAGTGATAACTCGATAAACTTATATATACTTGAAATTTCCATAACCCGATATATTTTGAAAATTCCATAATTTTCGATTCGATAAATCGACAAATTTCATAAAATCAATAAATATCGATAACTTAGTCAGTTTAAAAAACCCGCTACATTACGATAACTCAATAAATTTCGTTAACCATATAAAAAATGATAGTTCAATAAATATCCATAACTTGATAAATTTCATTAACTTGAGAATTTTCGAGAATCACGTAAATTTTTATGGCTCGACAACTATACGTACATTTCGGCAACTAAGTTTTGTTGTCTACAAATTTCTACAACTCAATAAACATTGATCAATTTGAATGACTTGATACGTTGCGATAGATAACTCGATAAATTTCGATAACTATAAACTTAGTTGATTGAACAGGTTGCAACAACAACTGCACACAAGTACGGAGTACCACGAAAATTCTCCTCATCTACGGAAAAATATCTTACCAATGGTGTTCTTGGGTTTTAAATCGGTTTGGTACATTCGCCAAACGAAGGCGGAAATAATGGTTGTTAGCGTTTTAATAAATAGATATTTAAAATTGGACTCTCAGAAAAGCTCTGAAAAAATACTAGGTCAAAGAAAAAAATTTTATTTCTTTAGTTTTATTTTATTTACACTTAAAGAAAATAGATATTAGCATTTAATCAGCTTCGTTGAATTTTTCAACTACTTGCTTACCTACTAAAATAACTGCGGAAACACACACCCTGGTCACACAGATCGTTTAAAACAGAGGTTCCCAAACTCTTTTTTTTCTCGTAGATCCCTTTCAAAAATTTACTGGTTTCGGTGGACCCCCTGCTGATGCATTTTAAATATTCCCAAAGCTCGTAAAAAAAATTAAATGTGATGATTACATTTAACTATGTAAATTTACATCGCGAGTGAGTTCCAAAACTACACTCGGAGTAGCCGAAATAAAACTAAAATATTTTATTTTTATTATTTGTTATTTTCTATTTACTAAAATAATTTACACATTTGCGGATTTTAAAAAATAGAGCTCGTAAATCCATCAAAATACTCTCTCGCTTTGAGGAGTTATATTTTTTAAGAGCACTTCGAGCCCTTGCGATATTTACATTATCTTCACCGTGAATTCATCAAATGTTCGGCTCACTCATGACTTTGTACGTGGAGTATTTGTAAAATAATTTATTTGTGTTGATGACATCATTTTTATTGTTATTGCTTCGAGTTTTAAAGCGAGGCGCAAAATGTTTATCACTCACATTTTTAAAACACAAAACTTAAAACAACAAAACGGCTAAGCTTTTTACGCCAAACTTTTAATTCAGAAACTGACAATTGAGAAAGGAACAAGTCTAGAAAAATCTAACAACTAAGCAAGCAAGAAGCAAAAAAGTGTTCCACCGTCTTATCCTCTTCAAGGCAGGATGGGCAAATGCAGATTTCATTTACGCCTATCGCAGTCAGGTGTTTGTGCCACGTAAAGTGAACAGTCAGCAGTCCAACAAGTTGTCTGCAGTGTCGTCTGCTCAGTGAGAGCAAAAAACTATGTAGACCTACTGAGATTGAAGGTAACATGCCCAGAGATTGAAGGTAACATGCCCACCTGCATCACCTCGATGCCTCCCGTTCATTGCTGAGCGAAGTATTCAGTGGGTGTGCTAAAACTGGTTGCGGTCCGAGAAATGCCTGGACTGAGCCAATTCTGGCCAAATGGTCAATGTTTACCACCATAATTTAGTCAAGACTTGCATTGCCGAACTAGTTTGGAAGTAGTTAGAGGGCTAGCCTTAATGCCTTAAGTGCAGCTTGGTTGTCACTGCAGATGCGTACACTTCTTCCACTCCACCTATGTTCCACCACGTAGTCCATGGCTTTGAGGATTGCAATTACCCCAGCCTGGAAGACCGAAGCATATTTCCCAACAGAAAAGTGAAGGTTTTCCCCATTAACTTCGAAAAATACCCCAGATCATGACCCAAAGTCTGTTTTGGAGCCATCAGTGAAGATTCGACAATGTGTTAGTCCAGTCCCAGTGATAGAAATAAACTAGCATTCTGTCTCAGGGAACTCAACATTATATAATTTCTTCAACAAAGAAATGGTGGCGTACTATCCTGTAGCATTGAAAATACACAAGTGCTTAAATTTCTGCCGCCAAAAATTTCCGCCGCGTCCCACTCAGTGTTATACCAAGATCCGGTTCTTTTTAGTCTGCAGGTGGCCTTTAAGTCTTTGCCATGTATGAAAACATAGAGTGACGGTAAGTGCAGCAGTGCGTCAAGAGCACTATACACCGCTCAAAAAAATTTAAGTTAAATAAAGAGGCTATCAAGCAACCATTTTGGTTCTTTATTATCGAAACCAGATAAATTTGCGTGGACCCCCACTTACAACTCATGGACCCCAATATTTTTTTCACACCAATGTAGACCCCCGTTCAAAATTTCGGTACTAGGTGTCTTCTTTTTTTCTATAAAGAATGTAAAAAAATATCTTTCACCCCAAAAAAAAAATAGTTAGGTGTAAATATTCAATGGAATGACCCGTATGTACACTGAAAATAAAATCTGCGTAAATATAACGAAAACTTGCGTACATTTGTACGAAACCGTTTTCATACATACTACGAAAATATGAGACATCAGATCTTAGCACATTTCACGAACGTATTCGTGCTATTTACGAACGTATTCATACTATTTACGAACGAATTTCATACTAGTTACTAAAGAATTTCGTACTATTTCCTTATTTTTTTACGAAATTTTTGTAAAATGCACAAAATAGTTCGTATATTAAATGAAATTATTTTCCTAAAATCTGCGGTTGTTTCGTAGAACTTCCGATTGTTTTCATTCACCACACTGTAAAAAACATAAGACGAATTATAACACAACACTTTTATTTCGTTTTTATTCCTAATTTTAAGCGTTTTTCTTTAACAAAATGTTTCACAATGTTTTTATGTGGAGGTACTTGGCAGATTCGCAGCTTCTTCGATGTTTGTTTCCTTTATCGACTATAAATTAAAGGAAAATTATAATGCGTCTGAAAGACACGTTTCAGTGAAAAATTATACATGTACTTACTTAAAATTGCATTAAGTAGTGCTTCTGTTCCTGGCTTGGGCTTGCCGTTGATAGCTAACTGATGAAATTGCCTATTTATGAAGTCCCACATTGCAGAGCAAGGCTCAGCGTGAGCGATGTTAAAAACATTGTATGCTTAAAAGCATTTATCCACAGCTTTAACATTTAATTTTATACTGCATTTTTATCCAGCAAAAGCTTCTTAAAACTTTTAAAATTATATTATACGTCTCACAGTAGCCAACCAGTAGTTTTGCAATGACACGCGGTACATAAAACTATGACGAAATATTAAACTGACGGTAATTTGGTATATTTTACGAAAATATTCTTCTGTTATACGAATTAAAAAAAAATGTTTCTGCATTTGTTCTATGTACGAAAGTATTAAATAAATTGTACGAAAACAGAATTGTAGATTTCGTAAATTTTAAAACCATACGTAAATATAACGAATGCCTTCGTACAATATACAAAACTATTCGTACAGAGCTTTTTTCAGTAATTTACGAATGTGTTTCATAAGATAAACGTAAAGTCCTTTAGTTATATTTACGAATGGTTCGTAAAATCTTGTTTCGTTGTGAGAAATGTGTTCGTATTTTAAACGAAAGTTTCGTACATTGTACAAAAACCAAGCCTACGAGAGTTTTTCGTAGCACTTTTACGAAATTTTTTTTCAGTGTATCTGTAGTCACACGGTCTCACAGAGAGTAAGGTTCGTGAAGAAAGTTTGAAGGCACATTCAATTAAACCATTGACCAGAACGGCCAGCTGTTATCTATTGTTTATGAAAATAAACAGTTTTACGTCCGCGGTGGCCGATTGATCAGAGCTACCAAATTACCATTTTTCCGATATGGAAAATTTGACGGAGTTCAATAGAGCGTCCTTAAACGAACCGAACTGCATTAAAATTGTCTTATCGAAAAATTTCCTTCCCTTTGGTAATTAATCGATTCATTAACAAAAAGTACATTTGTTTACTTTTTTATTTTACTTTATTTTATTATGTTTTATTTTTTCACAGAACTGTTTCAAGTTATCTT